GTTAGCTTTTTATTTCAGTTCTGTAAGAGTTGAGTCCTCTTCTTTGGTTTGGCAGCTTTAATGCGGTAAATAAATGTAAAAAAAAATGTGAATTTGGGATATTTGTTCTCTGTCGTACCAGCTACTAGCATGTTTCTGTGCTAAATGAAAATTAGCCCCTTATTTTTTCATTTCCAACTTTGACTTCCCTCTCAGGTGTTTAGGAAAAATCCACATAAAATGTGCACCCTCTTACAAGCTGCATGGTTCAAAGCGTGGGATAAAAGAAGCGGCTTATAGTCTGGAAAGTACAGTAATTCTTTGTTTAAATTATTTGGTGTGTATCTAATATTACTGTACAGTGTCCCAAATTGTAAGAGTATGCACTTCAGATTTTGAACCTAATCAGTTGCACCCCACATCTTTGAAAGACTAGAGAAAGGCCTTTCAATTGGGTTAGTATCTCACAGACAACCACCTGTGATCAGCCAAATCAATTTGGCAAACTCATTTATTTTTTCATTGATTGCTAAATGCAGAACACTAGGGATTGCCCACATTTTATACAATGGATATAAGAACCAGAAAACTTTTAGGTACACTACCATTCAAAAGTTTAGGGTCACCCAACCAATTTTGTTTTCTTGAAGTCACACTTATTCACCACCATATGTTGTGAAATGAATAGAAAATAGAGTCAAGACATTGACAAGGTTAGAAATAATGATTTGTATTTGCAATAAGGTCTTTTTTACATCAAACTTTGCTTTCGTCAAAGAATCCTCCATTTACAGCAATAACAGCATTGCAGACCTTTGGCAGTCTAGCTGTTAATTTGTTGAGGTAATCTGGAGAAATTGCACTCCATGGTTCCAGAAGCATCTCCCACAATTTGGATTGGTTGGATGGGCAATTCTTGCGTACCATACGGTCAAGCTGCTCCCACAACAGCTCAATGGGGTTCAGATCTTGTGACTGCGCTGGGCACTCCATTACTGATAGAAGCTGCCTGCTTCTGCTCTAAATAGTTATTTCACAATTTGGAGGTGTGTTTAGTGTCATTGTCCTGTTGTAGGATGAAATTGGCTCCTATCAAGCGCTGTCCACTGGGTATGGCATGGTGTTGGAGTGATAGCCTTCCTTATTCAGAATCCCTTTTACCCTGTACAAATCTGCCTCCTTACCAGCACCAAAGCAACCCCAGACCATCACATTACCTCCACCATGCTTAACAGATGGCGTCAGGCATTCTTCCAGCATCTTTTCATTTGTTCTGCATCTCACAAACGTTCTTCTTTGTGATCCAAACACCTCAAACTTGGATTCATCCGTCCACAACACTTTATTCTAGTCTTCCTCTGTCCAATGTCTGTGTTCTTTTGCCCATCTTAATCTTTTTCTTTTATTGGCCAGTCTCAGATATGGCTTTTTCTTTGCCACTCTGCCCTGAAGCCCAGAATCTTGCAGCCGCCTCTTCACTGTAGATGTTGACACTGGTGTTTTGTGGGTACTATTTAATGAAGATGCTAGCTGGGGACCTGTGAGGCATCTGTTTCTCAAACTAGAGACTCTAATGTACTTATCTTCTTGCTCAGTTGTGCAACGCGGCCTCCCACTTCTTTTTCTACTCTGGTTAGAGCTTGTCTGTGCTGTCCTCTGAAGGGAGTAATACACACCGTTGTAAGAAATCTTCAATTTCTTAGCAATTTCTCTCATGGATTAGCCTTAATTTTTAAGAACAAGAATAGACTGTCGAGTTTCAGATTAAAGTTGTGTTTTTCTGGCCATTTTCAGCGTTTAATTGACCCCACAAATGTGATGCTCCAGAAACTCAATCTGCTCAAAGGCAGGTCAGTTTTGTAGCTTCTGTAATGAGCTAAACTGCTTTCAGATGTGTGAACATGATTGCACAAGGTTTTTCTAATCATCAATTAGCTTTCTGAGCCAATGAGCAAGCACATTGTACCATTAGAACACTGGAGTGATAGTTGCTGGAAATGGGCCTCTATACACCTATGTACTGTAGATATGGCACCAAAAACCAGACATTTGAAGCTAGAATAGTCATTTACCACATTAGCAATGTATAGAGTATATATCTTTAAAGTTAAGACTAGTTTAAAGTTATCTTCATTGAAAAGTACAGTGATTTTCCTTCAAAAATAAGGACATTTCAATGTGACCCCAAACTTTTGAACGGTAGTGTAGATCTTAAATATTATACTTTTTTCTCCACCAGCCTCCCAGACAGCACTTCTAACACTTATGCAGGAAGGTTTCCTGAGTTAACAGTCATATTGCAAGTTTTAAAACCTCCACTGTGACAAATATATATGATTACCCTAAATTTAAAGGGGGAAATATTAAAAAAAAAAATGCTAATTTTCAGACAACAAAGATATAAAGAAGAATGTTACCCTACTACCCTGAGATTTAAGAGTTCTTCGGACAATTTACTTCAGCTGCTCATTGTATTCATCTGCCCGGTTATCTGACACTTCTCCCTTCAAGGTAGATTGCAGGTGAGACTTATATACATGGGGATGAAGTGTTATCTTGAGAAAAAGCCATTGAAAGACAACTGACCTCTAAGTTCTACACAGATCAGTGAACATGAATGTTATGCTACCCTTGCAACCCCCACAGACACCCTAACACACACATAGCAGTTCATCTGAATGCACAACAAGATCAAACATCCACAGTACTCCACAACCTGCCTCACCAGCTCGGTAATCATGTTGACATTAACAAGAAGGCAACATGCTCACAAAGGCAGCCAAAGTTGCTAGTCAGGAAGATATTACACTGACATGTCTTTACAAGCAATAAAGTCAGATCATAGATTCTCGTAGATATGACTTTTCTTTTAACATACATATGATTAAATGTTAGGCATTTTTGAATTGAACGTTTCCAGAAAAAAAAAGGAAAAGAAAGACAGGTTTAAACCAATTCCCACTCATCATAAATGGCCTTATATAGTGCTTTTTAAAGGCAGGAGACTTGACCAAAGTAAAAACATAGCAGAGTGTGTATGACGTCATCCAACTTGGGAGATATGATCATCAGACCCTTCTAGTGCTCACATTGAAGGAATTTGTTTGATATTATGTATGGTTTGGCTGTGCAGCTTTTAAGATGAGTCTGTTTTTGCCATTGTTCTGTCAATAGATTCTGCCCTACAAAATCTTCAGATGATTCAATTGTTTTCTGCTGTTTGAAGTTTCTGATTACTTCCTATCACATTTTCATATGCTTTTCAGCTAATTTTGTGTTTTTTTTCCTTATTCAGTTTCTTTAGCTAATATATCTTTTTTCATTTAGCAGAAAATAGCACTCCCACTTTGCTGTTTCTCCAAAACAGCTTTTTCTAGTTGTTGTTGTTGTTAGTTGCACAATTTCTCCTTTGCATGCTATTTTCACCCTCCTGCTGTATTTATTTATGTGAGTTCTCTTTAGCAGAATGTTTTTATTTGCACATGTGTTTACTTTTGTGTTTTCAGGCTTTTTTTTTTATTTTCCCTTGCTGTTTGTGTCCTTTCTGCTGTTCACTTATTCAGGAATCAAAGCAGCAAGATATTATGACTTGCTTGTCAGAGGATTTACACTAGATTATCTTCTGCCACTGCCAGGATTCGAGCGAGGGCCCTCCACATGGCAGTCAAAAACTTAAGCCCCTAGAAAATGGGTTACTCCATTTTTTTCCGAAGTGATACCTTTGTGGGTTTTTTTATGCATTAATGTATGTGCAGGGCATTTGCACCATTTAGCTCTGTAATCGTGCATATGAAATAGAAGACATCCTTCTGTTACCCACTTATAGCAAATGAACATAAGATGATCTATAAGCATACACTGAGAAAGCTGTACAATATCTGGACTCGTATGGTTAAAAAAATGACAGATAAGGGGAAAATCAATGTGATCAACAGATTCTTAAAATGTATTGAAGATTAAAGCATTTAAAATTGTAAATATATACTTTTATTATAATACATACATATTCTGCAAATAGTAAATTCACTCTTTATATACAGTGAGAAAAAAACAACAAGCCAAAGCTTTAGTTTTTTTTCTATTGTAACTATTTATTTATATTTTGAAAAATCCTATCTGCTTTGGAAGTTTTGGTTTTCTGCTCACCGAGATCCTCCCAAATTCAGTTAACATCCTCCGGCTGATTGCAAATCTGCGATCTGGTTTCCTTTCCATATCTAAATATTAATAGTCTCCATTACATGAAAATTACTTTCATCTCCGTCTCACATGGAGGGATTAGATTTTAATCAAGGCATTAAATATGACTTTCTATTTCTGCAGATGGGGAAAGATGGCAGGCGCTCAATTAGTATCACGCTCTGTTTGCGGTCTCACAGTGAAGCCCGATAAAGTCTTTGTTGTCATTTTCATGCAATTAGAGCATAAACAAAACACAAATGAGACAACGTAATGATACGATTCTTTCAACAATGAGTATGTAGGTTTAAATGGGAAACGTCTTCATTTTTCAAGCTGAACCTACTTTTGCTATGCAGTTCACACAACTAATGATTTTGACTGCTGACATCACCAGCTCTTATCTCAATCAATTACTGCTCTGCATCAATATTTGCCAAATTAGACAAAATCAGAATAAGTTTATTTTACTTCTACATCAATTATGTTTAAAGTACAATTCAGTGAGAGTCTTCAGCTGACAACAGTTGTCTTAGGAGCAGCTATTATTTCACATGTATATCATTTTCTTTATAAACTTACATTATTCTGTACATTAATACTTTCCTCAAAGTATAGCTTTATGTTAAGTAGATTATTCCAACTCTTAACATAAACAAAAATTAGAAACATTTCTTTGGTACTCAGGGCCTGCCAGGTTTACTGTCACTCACTGCCCAGTACTCCTAAGTGCTCACATATGTGCTCAATAAGGCCTAATTAGCCTATATAGAGCAAATAGGTTAATTGTCTGGAAGAGTATTTATTCCTTACTGGCGGTATCTGAGTTTAGTGTTGTTGAAATGAAGGTAGTTCAGCTCCAGTTGTCCATTTTTGTGCTTTTCATCTGTGCTGTCACAGCACAGAAGATCTTGAGGAGCAAAAATGCATGTTACAAACCTTTGCCAAGAGCTCCAAACTATGGAGTTAAGTAAGTTTTCTTTTTTTTTTGTTTTCTAAAAAAAAATGCCACAGTTATATCTAGATTAGCTAATGATCAATGAAAACTTATAAAAAAAACAATACTTTGAACTCTATTTGCAGAGAGAGCTAAAGGGAACTAAAGCTATATATATATATATATATATATATATATATATATATATATATATATATAATTAGGATAAACCTATTCTCATGTTTCTGCACCTTGATTTATTTATCTGACAGTGGTTGATTGTAGATGTTGAACTAATTCATTTAGCATTTCTACAACAAATACTGCTTTTCTCTGCTGCTTTGGCTTAACCAATATTTAGGATTTATGCTGTACTATAGCAGTGAACCTCTTGACTTCTGATTTGTTTTACATAGAACTGCACCTCACCCTCGTGAACTTCGTAACCTTGCTAACCTGCCAAAGTCATGGGACTGGAGAAATGTGAATGGTATCAACTATGCTAGTACAACTCGCAACCAACATATCCCCCAGTACTGTGGCTCCTGCTGGGCACATGGGAGCACCAGTGCTATGGCAGGTAAGCTATGCCAGTGTGTCTGATGACCGGTAGGACTAATTGTTCTCTTGTGTAGACTTAGTAAAGCTATAGCATATACAGCCACATGGAACGCACTGGGAATATTTGTCTGGTTATTTAGCTGATCAGTAACGATCCTTATGGCTTGTTAAATTTCCCAAGCCATTTGGTTGACTGTAGCTTTGAGGTGGGACTTGAAGCACTTGAATTACCTATTGGTTTTGAAATGTGACTTCTTGTAGATCGTATTAATATCAAGCGGGGAGGAGCGTGGCCATCGGCTTATCTGTCGGTCCAACATGTAGTCGACTGTGCTGACTCTGGTTCCTGTCATGGAGGAGATCATGCAGGTGTGTGGGAGTATGCCCACAATCATGGGATACCTGATGAGACTTGTAATAACTACCAAGCTGTTGATCAAGGTAAGGACTAGTGCATCACTGCCTTCTGTATGAATAAGGGGGAGCTTATTTTATAATTTCCCCCCGCTTTCAGAATGCAAGCCATTTAATGCCTGTGGAACATGTACAACATTTGCTGAGTGCAATACTGTCCAAAACTACACATTGTGGAAAGTGGGGGACTTTGGCTCTGTGAGTGGAAGAGAAGATATGAAGGCAGAAATCTATGCTAGAGGACCAATAAGGTTTGAGAGAATTAAAAGCTTGATCAAATTTTAAGATTTTTATGAAGTGACTACACTTTATTTCTTCAGCTGTGGAATCATGGCCACTCAAAAACTTGATGAGTATGCTGGTGGCCTGTACTCGGAATATGTGCAGAACCCTGCTATCAACCATATTGTGTCAGTAGCAGGCTGGGGTGTGGAAAACGGCACTGAATATTGGATTGTTCGCAACTCTTGGGGAGAGCCTTGGGTGAGTAAAGTTCCTGCAGCTTTACTCGTTTAAAACTAAAATTGTGTTTAAAGTTTACATGCTTGTAAATTCTTCTTTCAGGGTGAGAAAGGTTGGCTCAAGATAGTGACCAGTGCCTATAAAGGTGGAAGTGGGAGCCAGTATAATCTTGCTTTGGAGGAGGACTGTATATTTGGTGATGTGATCATCCCCTTAACTTACAGTTGAAGGATTACTTTGATTTGTTTGTGTATATAATTCCCATTATGTATAAGGTTTTAAAACTATGCCTTTAACATTTGTAATTGAGGATCTTCTGTGTGGAAATAAAAGGCTTGTAAATTTATTTTATGGTGTTTATCTAAAGTAAGAGTTCTGATGGGGTGCTGAGCTCCAAGGATTGAAGCACTTGCATTGATTGCATTTTCAGCACACTTATCTGCATCTCATTGAGCTCTGCAAAGGCCTAGAAGTGAGTCACCTGTTTGCTTGTTAGACAATCCATGTTATGAAATGTATTGTCCAAAGGCAGATTTTGTCATAGGGCGGTGCAGGGGTCTGATTAGTTTCCAACCCCCCCCCCTTTGAGTCTTTTTTTTTTTTTTTTTTTTTT